GGCGGTGGCCTGAGGGACAGACTGGGGCAAAGGGTGCTGCTCATCCAGGCAAATGAGACTCTGCTCTCCCTCCCTGCCATCGGTCCCCACCAGAACTGGGCACACCTGGGCCCTGCATCACTGCAGGGGATTTGCAGCCTTCTGCAGGACAGCAAGTGGGACAGGGGGGTCAGAAGTGTCAGAGATCCCTGATCCCCTGGGACTTCCAGGAACATCTCATAAGCAGCCGTTGTTTAAGCCATCAAAAAACTCAGCCCTCCTGCAGGGAGCTCACCCCCAGTGCTGGGCACTTGCACCTCTGTCCTGCTGCTGGAGACTTCTGCCTGCGCTGCGTGAGATGGAGGCTTAATAACCTTTGTGCTGCTTCTCTTCTAATCGTAGTTTGCTCTCCATCTGTCCCATGCTTCTCTTCCATTTCCCTGTCCTCCCTCCCCTGCCCTGGGTGCTGGGCTGCAGGGCTTGGTTGATGTCCCTACAGCTGATGGGCAGCGGGGAGAGGACCTCTCCTCTAACCTCATCCTTCCATGTTTCATTGCAGGGCCATTATCATCCGTAACGGGGAAATCATTCCAATGTCCAGGGAGTTTACTCCAGAGACAGAGAGGCAGAGGCTGCAATTCTTAGTAAGAAAGACCTTTCTTCTAACCCCATTCCTGCTCACCCACCTCCTGAGCCCTGCCTGGGGCTGCCCCTCTTGCTGCCTTCACCCTCAGCGTCCCATCGTGCATTCAGGGGTCCCTGTGCTCAGTGCTGGTTTCTTGCCTGGTGCTCCCAGGGGGAGCTGCAGACTGCAGGCAGATTTCTGGCTTTCTTCCTGAGAGCTCCCTGTCCTGGGCAGACCTTCTGTGCTGTGCAATGAAACTTGTTAAGGTTATAAAGACCTCTCTGATGGCAGCACGGAGGAGGAGGTGTTTGTGTTAAGGGAGGTCTTGCTGGATGGGATTTTCTGCCTCGCAGAATATCTGACGGAGCACTGTGGTACTTTTTCTCATGTTTGTGTTTGAATGACCGAGGGGAAGAAGTTGCTGTAAGCAAGATCCTCCCCAGCTGTGATGCGTGTATGGGCAGAGGGCCAGGCGTGTGCTTGCTCCACTGTGCAGCAGCTGGGCTGTGGCCAGGGCTCTCCATGCCTCGGCACCAACTCTGCCATAACTCAAAGGCCCCTCTCCTTCCTTTCAGCTGCTCTCCCTCTCCACCTGCACTTTGAAGCACTGTCTCAATCTCGGCTGCGCTTGGGGAAGCACTGGGGCTGCTGGGGGGGATGTGGGGCATCGGGTGTGGGTGAGGTCCCTGGGGTTCCAGCTCCAGGCCAAGCTCCAGCAGCGTGCTGGCAGCTCTGCATGAGGTGGTGATGCCTGTGGGGATGCTGGCAACCACCCAGCAATGTCCTGGAGCCCTGTGCTCTGTGCTGCTGCTTGCCCCTGGTCACAGACAGGATGCATGCTTGGGAAGGAGACAGCAACTGGTGTCCCTGTGTGAGCATCGTGCTCTGTGCTGAGCTGCAGCCCTGGAGCGCTGTGGCTGTGGCTGCTCCTGGGCCAGTTCTTCTGCAATTTGCCTTTTTTGTTATCTCTTTTGGGCTTCTTATGTGCCCAAACTCCTTCTGGCTCTGTGTCCTGAACTGCTCCTCCCTCTGAGCACTGTGCTGGAGGGCAGCTTTGAAGCTGCATTGTTATCACTACCACCTGAGCTTCAGCTGATGCTGTCCTCACCCTGAGGCCCCACAACCGATGTCCCACGGGTGCACCTGGCTGTCCTGTGCCGTGCTGGGGTGCTCTATGGGTGGTGCTGGGCAGGACCCTGCTCTCATGGCACTGCAGCTGAACCCTCTGCCCCTTCCTGCAGGCCTTCTTGAGACCTGAGCTGCTGGGAAAGGAGTTCACACACCTCGAGTTCCCCCGCAGGATCCAGCCCAAGGAGCTGGGGAAGAAGATGCTGTACAGAGACCAGAGCATGAACGGCTGGTACTGCGCTGTCTGGGGCTGCTGCTGCATGTGGCCACAGCTCCAGCCCCATCCCCATGTACCAAAGGGGCCTCATCCCAGGGCACTGGCCAACAGGTTGCCTTGTTTCAATCAGGGCTTACAAAAAGATTGAAGAGGATGACCTGAAGTTTCCACTAATCTACGGGGAAGGCAAAAAGGTAATATGCTGGGATGTGAGGGGAGGGGTCCCTGCTGCCCTGGGAGGTGGGGGTCTGGTGGCATCACAGCTAGGGCTCTGGCGCCATGCAGGGGTTGTTCCCTATCTGCCCTTGCTGAACTAGGGGTCCCAGCCCATTTTTTCCAATGCTGTCACGGTGCCAATGCCACGTGTATCATTTCTCCTAGGAGAAGAGGTGAAGGTGAGGTAGCTTAAAGCTTGCTTTTGTTTTTGCCTTTCTCCAGGCTCGGGTGATGGCCACTATTGGGGTGACACGGGGCCTGGGAGACCACGACCTCAAGGTGTTCAGCTCCAACATCCACATTAAACCTTTCTTGTCCTGCTTCCCAGAGGTGAGCCCGAGGGCTCTTTCACTAGGTGGAGCTGATTGGGGTGATCTCAGAGAGTGCTCAGAGCACCTGGTGGTGTTGGGGTGTCCATGAGCCCTCTATCACCCTTGCATCCTGCCCCACTGTTTCCCAGGTCAGGGTGTATGACCTCACACAGTATGAGCACTGCCCCGATGACGTCCTGGTCCTGGGCACCGATGGGCTCTGGGATGTCACCAATGACAAGGAGGTGGCCAGCGTGGTGCTGGAGGTGCTGACAAGCTATGAGCCCAATGACCCGTGCAGGTGAGGGGGAGACACAGACAGGTGTGTCCTGCACCATAACATCTTGCTTGGAGCAGCGTTGTGGCCACTGTGCACAGTGCCCCTCTGTATGCATGTATCTGAGCTTCCCTAGAGCCCCTTCCCTGCCCCTTTGGCTGCATCAGCTTCCCCCTCCTCCTGGGGACAGCAGTGTGGTGTAGCACGATTCCTGCTGGGCTTGGGCTGACCGCTGTGCTCTGCCCAGGTACACCATGGTGGCCCAGGAGCTGGTGGTGCGCTCCAGGGGTGTCCTGAAGGAACGAGGCTGGCGGCTGCCCAACGACAAGCTGGGCTCTGGCGATGACATCTCCGTGTTTGTGATCCCCTTGGGTGGCCCTGGCAACTACATGTGATAATCTGAGAGCACTGGGCAGAGGAGTGGCGCTGCCTGGATGGCCACGAGCAGGATGCTGGCACTGCCCAGGGCACCGCTCACTCCAGCACTCATTTCCTGAGCTGACCACAAGAAGAATGAGGATCTCGGAGCCTCCTGCCCGAAGCACCCCCTCACCTACTGCATCCCTGCCCTCTAGAGAGATGGAAGGACAGAGCAGAGACTGGGCTCAAGGGCTGGTTTTCTTGGTTGCTGTGAAAAGCCTCAGTGCTCTCTGGCTTCTCGGTGCACGCTCAGCACCTCGCCCTGGCCCAGGTGTGCTGGCTACAGCCCTGTGACTGGGCTCTGAGTGCCTGTACCCGGTGAAGCCTGTGCTTGCTGCTGCAATCACCTCCTTTTCCTGCCCTGTGACATTTGCACCACAGATGCTGAAGCTTCTGCACTGGGATAGGTGTGGAGTGGGGTCCTGCTGGCAGCGGGGCAGCACCCATCCCAGCTGCAGGTGCTGTGAGCCCTAAGGATGTCCCAGTCTTGTGCTCGCCTTCTTAGGCTCCTGGGCCCCATCCCCAGCTGGGCACACTGCCTTGGTCTCAGGTTTCCATGGACGTGACAGGGCTCAGTCACAGAGCACCTGGGAGGAAATGAGCTGCTGCACTCTCATGGTGTTTGCCAGCCCCAGGCTGTGCCATGGGCTCTGCCCACCACCTCTCTTCATGCCTTGGATCACCGCTGTGTTTCTAGAGCCAATTATTTATTATTAACTGGAGAGCTGAGCTGGAAAGTGTCTAAATTCCTTCTTGGTGTGAGGTGGCAGTCAGTATGAATATAGGTCTGTTATTTCTGAGCCGTTCTAATTTGGCAACTGCTGAGCAGCAGTTACAGAGGAGCCCCGTTCAGCCAAGCTTAACAGCTTAAAGTGCTGCATGGATCTGCTTAGCTGGGGGCTAAAAGCCCACAATAGAAGCAGCTTGGTCGTGGCTGGGAAATGGAGTGGGCTGGCTTTTCCCCAGACTCGGAGCTGGTCCTGAGCAGGTCTGTAGCTGCAGTTGTTTTCTCTGCAGTATTGCATTCTGCATCTGGCATACCTCTGACCTGGGGGATGATGAGTTTCCTGCACCTCGGCAGCGTTGCACCCTGCCAAAGCACAGAGGCAGGGTGGCCGTGGGGACAGCTGAGCCCTGTGCTGTGCTTTGGTGATGCACGGTAGCGTCTGCCCCTCGTCACTGGGTGTCACCTTCGGGGCGTGTTCCTCTCTGTAATCAGCGAGATGTAAATAAACTGGGTGCACTTAGTGGGGAGTGAAAGTTACCCAGTGAGATTTGCACCTGTGTGCATCTCTGTGCCGCAGGGAGCAGGGGATGATGATGCTGGGCTTGGAGGAGCTGCCCTTGCGTGGTTAAATAAAGGTCGTGCCACCCGCAGTCCCACCTCGGCGCCTTTCTTGCGGAGCTCCTGCAAAGACGACTAACTTAAAAGCTAATTAGCGCTGATTAATTCGTGCAGGCAGGTTGGGTGCCATGTGAGCCGCTGTCCTTCCGCCCTTACGTTGCTCCCTGAGCCGCCCGATGCCTCCGCTGCTGCCGGCCGAGGCGGGGCAGCGCGGGCAGAGGCTGCATTTAGAGCTTCCTCTGCGCTTCCCTTCTTCACTAAAGAAACGTTTCCTTTGGAGCCGGCTGCTGGCCCGGGGAGGGACAAATTAAGGAGAAATTGTCTCCGAAATCTGAAAATAGAAACGACTCATAGGGCACGGCCTGGGTTCCGATAGAGCCCGGTGCCAGGGCGGGGCAGCAGCAGCGGGGCTGGGAGCGGAGCCCCCGTCGGGAATCGGCCCGGTTCGGCACAGCTCCGCCCTTCCGAGGGCGGCCCCACAACGGGGCGGTGCCGTCCGATCCGCGCTCCGGAGTTGGGGTTGGAGCCGGCACCGGGACCGGGGAAGGGAGCCGTGCCGTGCCGGAGGGAGGTACGGGCCGTGCTCGGGATGCGGGCGCTGCGGGGAGCTCAGCGGTGCGGGGATCGCTGCTGGGGGCGGGCGGGGCCGGGGCTGCGGTGGGACCGAGCGCATAGCGGTGCGCCGTGGGGCGGTGCTGAGTGCGGTACCGTGTGCGGTATCGGCCGGGCCGGGTCCCGGGGGCGAAGATGGGTTGGAGCCATCCGGAACGGAGCCGCCCCCGGCACAGCAGCGTTGTATTTTCTTCGGGGGAAAAAGAAAAAAAAAAAAAGAAGGACAAAAGTTTGCTTTGCTTAGCGCTGAGCTCATTTGTAAACATTTATACAAGGGGGGCAGGCGGCGGAGCAGAAACAATTGTGCAATGTCTCAGAGCAGAGAAGCATTCCAGAACCATGACCAACAGCGGCGCTCCAGCACCAAATCGGGCAGCGGCCGCCCGATCCCCCCCGGCACCACGAGGCCGTCTGCGCTCCGTTTTCCTCCTTCCCGGTGCCGTTCCGTGAATCTTTGCTCCTCTCTTCCTTCCAGGTAGCATGGTTACGGCTGCGTGTGATTTTATGTGCCTTAAATTGACTCCTGACAGCTTCAGCTTTTCCAGGGAAGCGTTTTATAGGTGGATATAGGGATATACCTGTGGATATTGGGAGTGCTTAACCTGGCTTGCTTGGTAACTCGATGTGTGTGCTGGGATGGGGATGTGTATGGGCATAGGGAATGTGGAATGTGTGTGCAAACAGCAATCAGCTGTGAGCCACTGCACAAATACAGCCACCTGCCCGGGCTGGGAGTGTCATCTGAGGCATTCAGCAGATACTGGTGCTGTTGGGGAAGGTGCTTCTGTGGGAGGTAAGGTAAGAAGGTGATGGATGTCCTTTGGGGGAGGAGGTGAGGGCAGCACGGGGCTCCTGAGGAGCAGTAGTTGTTGCAGCAGGCTGAGTTTTCAATGTGTCCAACTGAAATACAGCACTTGAGGAGCCTTGCAGGTTTGGTGACTGTGTACAAAATGTTGGCTTCTCTTCTTTAGCCCCGTGATGTATAAAAGGGGGAGGCTGTGGCTGTAGTCCCAAAGCCAGAGCTGGGAGTTTCAGTTTAAGAGGTTTTGTGCACATGTGATGTTTTTGCTTCCTTGGATGTCATCCTGAAACAGAAGACATTTAAATGGGTTGCAGTCAGACTCCAAGCGCAGGTCAGGGTTGGTATCATGTGTTGGTTTCATAGTATCTGCCCAGAGAGCACCGACCCTGCAGGGTGTGCAGCGCTGGGTTTGCTGGGCAGCAATCCCACATGTTTTCCCACAAAGTGCTCACAGCTCAAGCCCAGTTTGGGTTTTAACATTCTTCTGCTCCAAATCCCTTTCTTTGCTTTGCTTGTGGATGTTTTTGTGGGATTTGGCAATGAAAACTGCCTGCTCTGCCCCTTGTCTGCAGAGCAGCCCTGCTCTGCTGCTGTGCTGGAGCCCGGTGTAACACAGTGTGTCTGGTCAGAGCTTAGGAACAGCTCCAAACTTTCGCAACCAGGACCCCAGAGCCCGAGCTGCTGTGCTGTGAGTTGGTGTCACTCCTCCCTCCCAGCTGATTTTGGAATCTTGTTCTGCTTCTGTATAAGACTCCGTTCCTGAGCCTTGCCAGGAAGTCATCCTGCGCCATGGGACTTTCTGCTGGAGTCGTGACGACTTCAGTGTACCGCTGTCACTGTCCCCAAATCCTTTCCCCTGAACTCTGGGCTCAGCTGCAGCCCCGAAGCTCTCCAGGGATGCTCTGTGCCCACCCTGGCCTTGTGCTTGCCGTGCTGCACCTCCCCCAGGGCCTGTCCTGATGTGCCCCTGCCTGGCGTGCGTCGGGGTGCGGCTGCAGCCCTTTGAACACACAAAGCCATGTTTAGAAGCAGAGACTGCTGTCCTTGGCTGCACTGGTTGGGAAGTGATGTTTGTGTTCCCCGCTGGGGTTTCGTGCTCTTTGGGTGCTGCAGGCTTCCTTAGGTCTCCTCTGTGTCACAGGCTGTGCTGCCTGAGCACCTGGGGGAGTGAAACCCAGCGAACTGCATGGTGATGTTCTAACCTTGAGCCTGGTTTGTGTTGCGATTAGCCCAGCTCCTTCCAACCAGAAGTAAATCCAAACAGTCTGAGTGCTCAGGACACTTGTTTGTTAAACACTGAGGTTCAGCAGGGACTACAGACACAGCAGTGAGGGACAGACTGAGCCGGCTGCTCTCCTTGGAGATCTGTGTCCCCCCCACCCATGGCTGCAAAGTGCTGTGAGCTCAGGGCTGGGTGTGATGGGGGTGGGATCTCAGGATGAGAGGCCAGTGGAAAGGTTTCTGTTTCTGGTCCGACCCCTTCTTCAAAGTGGTGACGTCTTTCTGTGCTGTTTCCCGAGGTTCAGAAACAGAAACTGGGTGAAAGATGCATCCTACCAGGAATTCCCCATTTCCTGCTCAGCAGGAATTTCAGTTTTTGAAGCACGGAGCTCAGCAGCGGCTCGCCTTGAAGCAGCTGTGCCAGAGCCCTTGCTGTGTTAGTGCTGGTGACCTTAGAATAGCTGCTTGGTGCCATGCGAGGTCCCCACAGGGATGGGGCAGCCCGAGGGGCACCGTGGCTGCAATGCTCCCTGCCTCCTCCCGTGCTGCTCTGTGGAGGCTGGCCGTGTGTTAGCAATGGGCTATTTCTGGGCTGCTGGGTGAGTAATGGAATGAATTGTGCTGAGATTTTGGGCGGGGACATGGCCTCTGCCCCGTGAGTCACAGCAGCCTTGGGCAGGGCTCAGGGTGCTGCTGACCCCTCCGTGGGTCAGGATGGATGCAGCCCCACAGCCCCGGTGGTTTGCAGTGGGTTACAGCCTCCTCTGCACAGAGCAGTGTGCCTGCATGGGGACTGAAGCTGTCATCATGTGCCTTGTCTGGGGTTTCTGCATGGATGGGGAACTGATGGGATCATCCGTGGGGCCTATGAAATGGGTCAGGCTCTGCGCTGAGGTTTCTGAGGAGTTGCAGATGCCAAAGAACTGTTGGACCCCAGTGCGATCTCACCCTGCTGCCTTCCTCCCTCGGACCCCAGGGCAGGCACTGCTGGGCCATTCCCAGTATTCCCAGACTGCTGGATGAGAGGTGTGGTTTGACTTGCAGGAATGTGTCTGTTGTGCAAGGGGCAGAATGCAGCCCGTTTGGCCTGTGCTCACTGAGCAGAGCCTGGCAGCAGCCCTGGTGCAGCTGCAGCAGTGGCACAGACTCCTTGGGACAGGGCTGGGATGGGGCCAGCCCCAGCACCGGGTGCCAGGCACAAGTTGGGATTGCTCACAAGTGTGGCGTGTTGCTGCCACTGAGCTGATGACAGAGGAGCCAACGTGTGCAACCCAGGGTGCAGATTCTGCCCAAAGAATGCATAATCTGAACATAAATCCCAAAGGAGGGTGCGTGGCTGATGTTGCTGCGTGTTGGTGACAGCAGAGAGAGGAAACCCCGCAAGGTCTGGTGGGCAGGGCTGGGTGCTCTGCAGCATTACAGGTGACAGATGCTGTCTCAGTGTCAGGTGGAGGAGTCGGTGGCTTTGCACGGGGTTCCCTGCATGCAGCCTGCAGCTCCACTCACCCTCATCCTCGTTCCTGCAGCGATGGCAGCCATAAGGAAGAAGCTGGTGATCGTGGGGGATGGTGCCTGCGGGAAGACGTGCCTGCTGATCGTCTTCAGCAAGGACCAGTTCCCTGAGGTCTACGTGCCAACCGTGTTTGAGAACTACATCGCCGACATCGAGGTGGATGGCAAGCAGGTAAAGATCCCACTCTGTGCAGGTGGTGATGGGATGCTGCGATGGAGAGTGAGCCCTGCAGCACCCCTGATTTTACCCCAACCGTGCCCCGGTTTGCAAAGGACCCTCGTCACTGCAGCTGAGGAAGGCCAAGTATCCCTCCTGGCCCCACGGGCTGCCTGTAGGGTCTGTGAGGTGCTGAGTGTCCCTTTGCCCATAGGTGGAGCTGGCGCTGTGGGACACGGCTGGGCAGGAGGACTATGACCGGCTGCGGCCTCTCTCATACCCGGACACGGATGTCATCCTCATGTGCTTTTCTATCGACAGCCCAGACAGCCTCGGTAGGGAGCAGGGGGTGCATCATGGGGTCCTGCTGGCTGAGATCCTGCTGGCATACTGGGTTCTGGGAAGTCCCTGTGCCACTTTGGGGATGTTGTGTCTCCCTGCTCCACCCTCAGCTTTTTTGCACGCTCCAGGAAGATGCCGGGAGCTGGTGCATGGTGGAGGTGCTGGGAGAGGCTGTTGTGCCCAGCTGGGTGGCCCTGGGGCTCTGTGGGGCATTTCCATGCTCCCCTGCATGGTGCAGGGCTGCAGCTCATTGTGCTCCCCTCCTGCCCTGCATGGAGCAGCAGCACAGCTGTGTGTCCCCATGCACCATAGCTCAGCAGCCGCACTCTGCTCCTCGCAGAGAACATCCCTGAGAAGTGGACCCCGGAGGTGAAGCACTTCTGCCCCAACGTGCCCATCATCCTGGTGGGGAATAAGAAGGACCTGCGCAACGATGAGCACACACGGCGGGAATTGGCAAAGATGAAGCAGGTGGGGACGTGCTGGGGTTGGGTGTGCGCTCAGTGGAGCGCCAGTGCTGGGATCCCCTCACCCTGGGCTATTTTGCTGGGACTTCCTTCTTGCAGCCTTGATCTGGGCACGGGGGATGCCCTGCAGGCAGCTGCTGTGCTTCTTGCTTCTGGTGGCATTCCCAACCCTCCTTTTTAATGCTGCCCAGGAGCCTGTGAAGCCAGAGGAGGGGAGAGACATGGCCAACCGGATCAACGCCTTCGGCTACCTCGAGTGCTCGGCCAAGACCAAGGAGGGCGTGCGGGAGGTCTTTGAGATGGCCACACGTGCAGGCCTGCAGGTCCGCAAGAACAAGAAGCGCCGGGGCTGCCCGCTGCTGTGAGCAGGAAGGGCTCTGCTCCATGCCTGTCCCCGACCCTCTGCCCCAGAGCTGTCCCCAGGCACTGGGGCATCCCTGTGCCACGCTGTGGGGCGATGCCTTCGTTCCCCATCGCTCTCTATGAGCTGTGCGGTCTCTCTGCCTTGAGCGGGGCCGGCAGAAGCAGGGGCTGCTGGCTGTTCCCCACACTGTGCTGGCCCCAGCTGCCCCCTGGCCTTTATGGACTCACCAGGGCTGTGCTCAGCCCTGCCCTGCAGAGATGTGCTGCGAGGAGTGCCAGCAGTGCCCTGCACCCTGGGTCTGCCCCGGGGCAGTGCCTTGTCCCCACATCCAGCATTAGAATGACGGTGCCTTCTTCGAGTCCGAGTTCCTCATAGACTCTTAGCACCAGTATGCTCAGCTGAGTAACTGGGAGAATAAATGCTAACTGGTATTTGAGTAACTGTAATTCTGCATGTGTGGCATCCCTTCGGCTGCCCCTGCAGGCCCCGTGCTGTGCCCACGCAGCACCCAGGACTCAACACAGAGCGTTTTTCTCTGAACATTTATTCCAAGGACACGAAGGTAGGTGTGCTGCACGTGGCTCAGCATACGGGCTGGGGCCAGCAGTCACAGCACAGTTGGTTTTCCAGAGTTGTATCAAAAAAAAAAAATCACTTAAGATTTAAAAGAAAACAAAAAATAAGACGTTGATGATCCCGGGGCTCAGCCCCACGGTCTGGGTTGGGCTCTCAGCCGCAGCTGCAGCCCTCTGCGTGACAGCCAGTGGGTTCCATCCAGCGCACAGCCCGGCTCCAGGGGGGCAGAGCAGGAGGTGGCTGCAGGATGGGGCCGGGTTGGGGGTGCCAGAGCTCTGCAGGGCTGCGCTGGGCTCCTGCAGGGACAGCACAGGGCTCGGGAGCAGCACAGAGAGAGCAGCTCCTGCCCTGAGCCGTGCGTTACCTGGCCGTTAATTGCCGAGGTGCAGGGAGTCGAGGTGGTTGGCAAGGTTATCCTCCTCGGGGGGCTCCTCGTAGTACCCCCTGCAGGCACCCTCATCCTGGCAGTATCTGAGGAACCTGGGGACGCAGTGGGGTGTGGGCAAAGGGTGTGGGGCTGGGGGGGGGTCTTGGGGGGCTGCAGGACTCACCTGTGCCAGTGTTGGTCCTTACTGAGCACGGCTGGGTTACCCACCACGATCAGCAGCGCTTTCGCCCGGGTGAGTGCCACGTTGAGCCTCTGAGCAAGGGAGAAGAGTTGGGGTTTCCCTTGTGTTCACCTGCTGGCTGTGGGGCGCCTGTGCCCATAGCAGCTCTGCCAGGGAGCTGGGGGCCTCACCTTGGGGTTCTTGAGGAAGCCAAGGCAGAAGGTCTGGTCCAGCTGCAGGTATTCACTGCAGCTGCGCACAGTGGAGATGAGGATGACGCGGCGCTCCTGACCCTGAAACTCCTCCACGGAGCCCACCTGGGGTGTGGGAGTTGTGTGGTGAGAGGGGCTGGGGCTCCATCACTTCCCCAGTGATGTGTGGGGCCCAGGGTACCTTCAGCTGCTCAATTTCTGGCAGAGCCTTCAGCACGCGGTCCTTAGAGGTGATGGCCAGGCGGATCTTCTCCACCTGGGGAGGACGGGATGTGCTGCAGTGAAGCTGCTGGGGAGGCTGAGCCACCCCAATTCCCCCATCCCGCTTCCCTCAGCCTGCACCTGCTTCCTGTAGGGAGAGATGATGCCGATCTCCTTGGGTGAGATGGTGGGGCAGCCGCGCCGGCCCTGGTTCTGCAGCAGCTTCTGCAGGTACTGAACCACCACCTCAATCTCGGCCGTGTTGAAGAAGGAGGGGCTCTTGGCCTCCCGCTCGTCCTCCCCACACACCCCATGGAAGATGATGGGGAAGTCCTGGAGCAAAGAATTGGGATCAGCTCAGCTGCAGTGCAGGGGCTCCTCCCCCCCCAGTCCCCCGTGCCCCCTACTCTTTTGGGGAGCTCCTCCCAGGTGCAGTAGGAGTTGCGCACGTCAAGCTCGCTGCCCTCATATGCCTTCAGCTCGCTGTCATAGAAGAGCTCATTGGGCACCTTGAGGATGGCCTTGTGGGACCTGGCGGAGGCAAGACAGTGCAGTGCAGGAGAGACCTGATGCTCTCCTCGGGCACCAGGCACCCAGGACTGCAGGTCTGCCCCATCCCCAGGCCATGGCACCCATGAGGAGTGGGACGACACCATGTGACCTGCACTGAGCTGCGTGGCCCTGTCCCTACCTGTAGTTCCAGAGCAGCTTGGTGACGAACTGTGGGTTGTAGCCCTCATTTGACTTAGCATACAGTGCATTGTGTGTCATCAGGCGCTCCAGCAGTGAGGTGCCTGCATGCAGTCAGACCCATGGCTGCCGTGATGCTATGCAGGCATTGTGCCACCCCCAGCCCTGCCCTCACTCACCCAAGCCATGCTTAGCAGCCAGTGGTGACCTCAGGACAGGGCCCAGCTGCTGGGGATCCCCTGCCAGCACCAGCTGTCCCCCATTAGGGTTGGTGTTCGGGTCCATGACATTCAGCAGCCCTGGGCAGAGGGAGTTCAGCAGGGAGCAGGGAGCACCGGGCAGCAATGCTGACCCAAGGAGGCAGCCAGAGGCCACTCACCAGCGATTGCCACGACACTTTCTGGCTCTACTGCATGGCCACACTCATCGATGAAGACGTGGGAGAAATATCCCGGGGGAAAGTTGGCTGACACCAACCTGAGGAGAGGTGGAGTGAGGTGGCATGAGCAGCTCTGCCTGCACAACCTTCCCTCGTCATCACTCTCCCCACGTGCCCCCCACATCCCCTCTTATTGCACTCCGCTGAGGCTGTTCCTGCAGCCAGGCACAAAGGCAGCCCCAGGGGCCCTGACCTTCCTGCTGTCACCAGTGTAGTGATGAGGATCCAGTAGGGCTTCAGCAGCTCCTTGCTGGGATACACGTAGCACTTCTCGGTGTCGTCCCAATTGCAACAGGGCTGGAGCAGAACATTAGGTGGGGGCCCTTCTCCTCAGGGTTGTTCTGCAGGGGCTGGGGAGGGGGGCACAGACCTACCCTGACGTCTACAGGCACCTCCCTGTAGTTGGCAGAGCTGGCCATGATCCTGTAGATGTAACGGGGCGGGATGTCGGTGAGGAGGCGCTGGCACAGCAAGTCAGCAGCACTGTTGGATGGGGCACAGGCCAGGATCCGGGCACCCTTGCAGCATGACCACACCTGAGGGGAGGGAAGGCTGAGCCCCATGGGCTGGGCAGCGATGCCCTGTGCTGGCCCTGGGCCCCACCACCCACCTGCTTAATGGCCTCCACCAGGGTGACTGTTTTGCCTGTCCCAGGAGGCCCAAAGATGAGGTACGGTGCAGGTCGGGACATCCCGGTGACGATGTGCTTCACAGCCTGGCATTGCTCCTCGTTCGCCTCCAGCCTGCGGTCGAACCACCTGCAAATGCAGAGGCTGAGCTGAGCAGCCCCCACTCAATTCCACCCGATGCACAGAGCTGCTATTCACCCTGACTCACTGGGGCTGGAAGATGCCCTTGAAGAGCGAGCGCTGACAGGAGGCTGAGGGGAAGAGCATGCTGTCCAGGCCCTTCTGCATGGCCATGGCGGCGGCGCGATGCTGCACCTGCAGCGGCAGGCGGCTGAAGGTGAAGGTCACATCGAACTTCAGATTGTTCACAAACTTCTTCATGAGCCTGGAAGGAGTTGGGGTGAGAGGGGATGCTGCCCCACGGCCGCCCCCAGCCCAGGGGAAGGGCCCACTCACTTGGGGGAGAAGCCAAGCTGGACCTTCTCCAGCTCCACGCTGTGCACGTAGCCCTTGTACAGGATGCGTGGGGAGCTATCCCGCTCGCTGCTCAGGCTGGCAAAGAGGTGGTCGCCCCGCAGCACCGACGGGCGATTCTCAGCCACGCCAGGCACCTGCAGTGAGCTGTCACATCGGGTGCTCGGAGCTGCCCCCACCCCTGTGCCCCACAGCAGTCCCCACTCACGTTAAGGAGCAGCAGCGTCCCGTTCTGCACCATGGGCACCTCCTGCAGGTCGTAGCGGCGGATGTCCACTTCCAGCTGGATCTCCTCCAGGTGCAGCAGCAGCTGGAACTTCTGCTTGTAGTTCTCAGGCTGCAACGGGGCCTCTAGCAGTGACCTGGAGATGTGAGGCTAGATGTCACCGTGCCCAGCACAGCCCTTGGGACACGGGGCAGCAATGGGATGTGCACAGTGCAAGGAGGCATCCCCCTCCCCATCAGCACTCACTGCATCTTCATCCAGCTGGAGTCAGGGCTGGTCTTGGGCCCGAGCATGATGGTCTCCTTGAGGCTCTTGGGGTACGGGTAGGTGCCCAGGGGGATCTCCTTCTCCAGCTCATTCTTCAAGGAGCTGGGTGAGGGAACAGCGATGCTGCAGGGGTTGTGTCCCAAAGCCTGCTGCCACTGACCCCCCCCAGGATGAAGCAGCCATACAGCCAGCACAAGTGCAGAGAGCTGCATCCCTGCTAGCAGAGCCATGCCCAGGGCCCTCAACGCGGAACAGCAGTGGGTGATGGCCCTGTACCTGATGGGAGGCACTCCGTCCTCGGTGATGACAGTGATGGGGCGCTGCAGACTGGCCTGGTAGGGCCTGTAGGGCGCCGAGGGTCCCAGCTCCTTGGCCAGCTGGCTCTGAGCAATGGCAGCAATGGAGCGCCCGATGCGGAAGGGCCCATCCAGCTCCTTGCTGAATTCAAACACCACCACAGCACGGAAGAACCCATTTTGTCTGGTCTGACAGCGGACCTGGATGGGGTACGCACCGCCTGCGAGGGGGGGGAGAGCTGGGGCTGCATCCTGCGTCCCTGGGGCAGCAGGGAGTGGGGCCAGGCAGTACCTGGGTGCAGCAGCAGCGCTTGGTTTTGTGTCACCCCTTGCTCGTCCATGAAGGAGAGCTCCCGCACGCGGTGCAGGGGACGGCAGTGGTGCATGGTCACGGCTTCGGCGCCGTGGTTCTGCACCTGCACGGTGAATGTCTTCGTCTCGCTGAGAGCCACAGGGAAGCGGATCTGCCCATTTCCCTGGTCGTACTCTGAGACGATCTCTACCCCATGCTTCCCACGGATGAACTCGGCCCTGCAGGAAGGGGGCACTGAGGTCTCCCCAGCTGTGGTGGAGATATCAGGAGCCCCCGTGCAGGATATGGGAGTATTACCACTTCTTGGCACGGCTCTGTGGCACTGCTGGTCCGGAGCTGGGCTGCTGGCCTGGAGTGGGTGCAGACACCTCAACATCTGTCCTGGGTCTGCGGTACTGATCAGCCACCACAACCCGCCTCCTCTCCTGCCAGGAGCAGCCAGCATCAGTGTGGGCACAGCCCCTCAGTGTGTGCCGGGGTCTTGTTGGGAGCTGGGACCCCACCGGAGCCCATCCCTGGGGGTGAAGGAGCTGCTGCACTGCCCCAGCTCAGGGCCTCCATTACCTTCTTGAAGC